ACCTGACATAGACATGAGTAAAAAAAGGAATTTAATTAAAAATATTATCCAATTTTCTTTTTATTATTACAGAAACATTTTATAAATGAAATTACTAACAACTTGTTTTTTATTACATGATGCATTTGCGTTTAATCCTATTTCATCTGGTGCTTAATTAATCGTTTTTATTTGATCTAATTATCTTAGCAGACTAATTTATGATCGAGTCTGTTGTTTTTTGTTTGTATTTTCAAATTGGCAAAAAAAATGAGAATATTGATATAGAATTAGTGATAAAATATATGCTATTTACATATGTCTATAAAAAAATTTAATGAAATGAGAACTTCCTTTTAAAAGTAGCTTGAAAAATATTGTAGTCTTTTTTAATACAATTTAATGAAAATATAAATAAAAGTATATTTAACCGAATTATAAAAAAATCTGATCTGTTGATGTCCAATAGAAGAGTAAATAAAATAATAAAAAAAATTACTATTCTAAAGTTTTGTTAATTAAATTAGATTACTTTTTAAATAAATGTAATTATTTTTTAAATAAATTACAATCATATTAATAATTAATTAAATTAATTAATTAGCCATTAATAAAATTAGTTAACTTTAATTGAAAAAAAAAAAAAGTTTTTATTTTAGGTTCTTATCTTTAATAGCTTCGTTTGAAGACTATCTGCGTAAATTTAAACTAAACTTAATTAAATTTAAAACTAACTATATGAGCATTTTTTTTCTGTTAAAATAAAAGTAAATAAAAAATATATATACTCCGGCGATCCAGTGAAGTATACGTTCCAACCACTTAAGGCGCCATCACCTAAATAAATATTTTTACATCAAAATCACGTCCAGGTTACAACAATATTGTCAGTGGCTTCTGTTGGTATAATACTATGCAATGACGGTGTATACGTGTCGAATACCAAACGATATGTTGTAATGAACACTTTGATTTATTTGCATAATATTTACGTTGAGTTTTGAAATGCCTATTCAAATTAGTAGACCGATAGTTTGTGAGTACTGTATGTTTTCCTAACAATAACTGAATTGTTATCAATAAGACAGGAGATATTTAGGTAAGTTTAATAAAGCAGGAAATTATTCGATTTGTATATTACAATTTTTTTTACACTGTGGATAACTATAATTGGCTAGCATATAGTAAATATAATGTAATATGTATTCAATTTAGTAAAAAGCTGTTGTTATCCCAAATAAAATAAAATAAAAATATTTTACGACTTATGAATTTATAATTTCATTAATTAGTAATAATTAATTATTTTCATATTAATTAGCTAAACTAATATAAATTTTTAAAAATTAATTATTAATTATTTAAGATAAATTTGAGAATTAAGTTTAATTGTACAGAAAAAAACGGACTTCAATTAGAATATAGCTAGTGTCATAGTATTGTAGTGTATATAAGTGCTCGTAATGTAGGGTATAAGGTATAAACCGCAATATATTATAAAGGACAAACTTTATGTAAATTTTTTGAAAGAAATAAAATCATTATTTACCCAAAAAGCTCTTTCAAACGAAACCTCGTAAATATTAGTACAAAAATATATTTCTACCCTCGGTTTGCATACAAGGGCTTTTAATAATTTTTCCTTTGAAAAAAGAAGAAAAAAATTCTTTGAGCTGTTTAATAGGCAGATATTTTTCAAACGCAATATTGTTATTTTAATTAGATGTATTAGCGTCTTTAATAGCATTTATTTAATAAAACTCAGAATAACATATCATTATTTTGAGTTTAATTAAATAAATATCCTTATTAATATTAAAACGTATTTTTACTGTGCCTCTTTATAGAAATAATATTTCTTTAAATAACCCTATAGCGAATATGTGTAGATCATATAATGACGCTCATCAAAATGACCTTGACATATTTGGACTCAGTTATAATCAATATCGTAGACAATTGTATAAAATAATGTAATATTTAGAAATTTCTTATATAATTTTGTTTTGTTTTTTATTTAACTTTTTTTATGTTTATGTTTCTATTTATGTTTAATTTTTAGTTGCAACTGAATGGCTTTGTTGCAGTCGCATTTATTATTGGATCATGCTGTGTGCACATGTTGTGCCAAGTTTACCTGATCAATACATTAATGTACTTGCATGTTATAATTTAAGTTTGTATTTGTAAACTTCTGTTATGTGTGCCTGATAAATAAAATAAAAATAGAAATGTAACAGTCGAATTTGTTACCAGTATATAATAGAAGAGGCAAAATGCTGGACCACCTTATACGACATGACGATTTTTTTAACAGCATAATAGAAGAAAAGATAGAGGGCAAAAGAGGAAGAGGAAGACCGAGGATTAACTACATGGGACAGATAAAGGAAACACTAGGAGTCATGTCGTATAGGGAGATAAAGGATATGGCCTGGGATAGAGCTGGCTGGAGGAAGATGCATGAATTAGTTGCACTGACAAGAGGAAACTCTTAAATGAAAATGAAATGAATAAATATCTTTATACAGATATATTAATATAATATATATATATATATATATATATATATATATATATATATATATATATATATATATATATATATATATATATATATGAATGAATGAATGAGTATACTTTATTTGCATTATACAATATAGGAAATAAACAAGACAATTTACAAACATAACGATACGATTGTATAAGTACAGTAAGGCGGTCTTATTGCTGAGAGCAATCTTTTCAAGACAACCTTAAGGTAATGGACTAATTGTTGTACAAGTAGGTATAATAGTGCTTTATAATTAAAAAAAGCATCTTTTGCAAATTAAAAATATATAAAAATTATATACATATATACATACATATACACATACATATACACATACAAATATATACATACACATACACACGCATACATATACATACACATACATATATACATACACACATACATATACCTATCAATCAAACAAAATTATATAATCCCATGCATATACGAGTATGTCAAATATGTACCCAATGCTAAGATACATATTAATAATTATAGGCACAAGGAAAACAAACTATCATAAAATAAATAATTATATAAATACATAAATAAAGAATGCCAATTTTTTAAATGAAGAAAAATCAGATAGAGAAAAGATAATCTTTCACTTGTCGTTTGAAAGAATCAATGGATTTTGTACTTCTAATAACAACAGGCAATGAATTCCATAACCTAATGCTAGAAACAGTGAAGGAATTGTGATAAAATTTAGTGGAATGAGAAGGTGTCATAAGGGAAAGGTTTTCGGAAGAACGTAATGTTAAAGTATGGGTAGAGGAGATGAATTTAAAACTAAAAATTAAATTTAAAACTAAATTTAAATATATATATATATATATATATATATATATATATATATATATATATATATATATATATATATATATATATATATATATATATATATATATTCTATTCTATTTTAAATAAGAAAAAAATCAGTTATAATGAAATTTTGTTAAAATAAATTAAAGACATAAAGGTATAACTGAAGGTCTTGTTATATCACGAAATAAACAAAACATAATCAAAAATTGAACAGTTTAGGAAGAAAAAACATGAGAACACGAAATGACAAATTCGGCTATATTTCATAGGTATTTATCAAACTCACCTGTTGTTGTCCCTTTCTATCATCACCGAACAAAGCGTGACAGCGACAGATTAGCAAAATACCTATTCTTCAAACGTCTCGACCACCACGTTTCCTCTTAACGACACGGTGTCGTAGATATATATGTATTATATCGTATATATCTATACCAACTCTAATATTTATTTATTGGATATTTCACTAAACACTGACGGCAGAAAAAAGCTAACCATCCATTTCGACATCGCCAGTATCAGTCGAATATCTATGTTCATTTCGCCTGGCTGCCTCATTTATATATATATATATATATATATATATATATATATATATATATATATATATATATATATATATATATATATATATATATATATATATATATATATATATATATACTTGACAATACAAAGAAAAATAAATTATTTGTGATAATAACAATTAACAATTTAAACATGATTTTTCCTCTCTAATCAAACGGAGTTTGCCCGAAGTTCCTCTCTGATGTGTTTTTCATATAAGTTTAGATCTTCTCTGTATACGTCTAAAGAGAATTATAAATTTGGCCTCAAATTATCTTTAATTACAAAATAATCAACAAAAATGACAAGTCTCGATTTTAGCGACATCTAGTATTTCTTGTCTAATTGAGACTAACCATCTTAATGGATGTACCGGAATGTTAATGCTGCTTATCGCTGTTGGGGCACCATTGAAAGAAGGAAGGAAGGAAGACGAAGATGAATTCACAGTCAATATTTGATATAGAAGTTAAACTATTTTTTATGAGGGTCATTTTATATACGTCCTGGTCATGCGAATGAAGTCTTGGGCACTTATAGTTTTTTTGTTTACCCTTAATTAATATATTTATTTAAACTTTTAATGTACAGTAAAATACTATGTACATTTGGCAGACTTAACACCGGACGGTGTTCTTTACCAGTCAATTACTGGGCAAATCGAGAAATAAGTAGGCGGTGCATTATTTAATTATGAAAATATGTTTTTTCAGTCGAAAATGTTTATATTATATGAATTATTACATATAATGTAATTTATACGTCAAAACTATGAAACGATACAGTATGTTAAAAATATAGGCAGGCGTGATAAATAATGTATTAATGGAAATAAAACATTATTCAATTTAAAAACAAAGCTAGATTTGATTTCAACGCTACTGATTATGAGTTATGTTAATGTTATGATATATTGTAAAGTAAAAAAAAAAGTGAAAAAAAAGCACACAGACACGTGGAGATAGCACTTTAAAGCGCAAGTTCTGACGTCGATGTAAGTGTAAATGCAGCTGTGTGCGTGCCGCTGCAGGTATCAGAACGGAGCCTTCTCAGTTCTCACCGAGCTCTCGAGCTTGACGCGTCGACGGTCGATCGCGCGCGCTTGTTTGAGAAAACGCCGCTCAAAATTTGAATTTCGAACTGCGAACTCAATTTTGACGATTCCAAATTTAAAAAATGGAATGTTCCAAATTAATTGGTGATTTTTAATGGTAAATTGAAATTGTTACTGGTAATATCGACATTTGGACAATTCAACTATTGTCTGGCAGTGTAAATAATAGTTAACGATCACGTGATACATTTTCCTGTGATTTAGATTTGTGATAGTAACTACACTAATTGGTGGTGGATTGATTAATGAACGCTAATGCCGTTGTGATTACAGTGGATGAATAAATGATATTTTTCAGTGCATAACAGTGATCGGTTTATTGTTATAAATAAATAGTTGACTTGGATTTACAAGTAAGTGGCAGGTAATAATTGTTTATTACTAGTTTTTTTTATTTATTATAATTATTTCTAATGACCACAAACATTAATAAAAAAAAAACGCACAATTGAGAATAAATAATAAATACTTACGTAAAAGTGTAGTAAAAATGAAATATAGCATTACTTGCAACGGAAAATCATATTAGAACCTTTTTTTGCAACCTCCTTTTCTTTATTCTCGAGTGACCAATTTTCTTCAAACGTTTTTTTTTTTACAACAGAGCTGTACAAAATTATACCATATGCAACTCGGTCAAGGATGAAAATAATTTCAATTTAAATACAATACGCTATGCTATCATTATATTGTAAATTAAGGTACTTAAAAATATTGCAAATGACGTGAGTTTAATCATTGTACGTAGTAGTTTTAACTGCTTTTCTATTTTTATACTCATTTTAGTATCTACATAAATGTAGGTGTCAAACGTAATGTTTAAAAATACTTAAATTTATTTATATAATGATTTATTTTTATAGCCAACAAATTTAATTTATTAACCCTATTTTTTTTATCTCAGAGACATTTTTCGTTCAAACCTTTTTATAAAATGATCCTGTTTATTTCAAAAATACAAACACTACATCTAAGGCAATGTACTGACTGGCTGTTGACTAATTTGTTAAATGAAATTTGAATTTCGAATGTTGATTTGAATTTATTTATTTATTACCGACTGGCACAAATTAGTGTCTACAGCATTACTAATGATATTTTTTGTTGTTTTTTATGTTACTATATCGTCATAGTCGTAGAATACTGACGGATCTGACAAATATTACGTATAAAGATCCGTCAGTATTCTACGACTATGACGATATGACACAATTTATTTATCTAGCAATAGAGTGATATAAGAAATAATAAAATTCCTTGGTCGCTTTTTGTATAAAGGTCACGAGTTCGATCCTTACAATGAAGTAAATATTTGTCTAACCATTCAAATCATATCGAGTGTTTATATAAAAAATCAACTTAAACTCAAATGAATAAACCATCCTGATCGATGAGCAGTTCGGCTTTAGAGCCAAGCACTCAGCTGTTCATCAAGTACATCGTGTAGTAGAACACGTCCTCAACGCCCGACACCTGAAATCCAACGGGGTCACATGTGCCCTGTTTCTCGACGTAGCGAAGGCCTTTGACAAAGTCTGGCACAGCGGCTTGATTTTCAAACTGCACAAGATGGGAGTGCCAGACAGGCTCGTGCACATCATACGAGCCTTCTTGTCCAATAGGTCATATCGCTATCGCGTCAATGGAGTGCGTTCCAGCGCACGACCGATTAGAGCCGGCGTCCCTCAAGGCGCTGTCCTCTCCCCCACCCTCTTCTCGTTGTACACCAACGACATCCCGCGTCAGCCCCGAGTGCAAATCGCCCTCTTTGCTGATGATACAGCCATATATGTGGACAGCACGTCGGCCGCCTGTGCAGCCAACAGGCTTCAACGGGCGGTGGACGAGCTGGCCTACTGGTTCAGAAAATGGCGCATCGAAGTCAATCCAGATAAAAGCGCCGCCGTGCTTTTCACGGCCAAAAGAAAACCATCCCTTCCCGCCTCTATTCAGCTGTTTGGCACGCCCGTCCCCTGGACGAACGAAGCCAAATACCTAGGCGTGACACTAGATTCCAAGTTGAGTTTCGCATCTCATCTTAAGCGCGTCCGAGGCCTGGCCAATTTTATACTGGGACGCCTCCATCCCTTTATTAACAAGCGCAGCCAATTGTCGCTTAACGCAAAGCTGACGCTCTATAAAGCATGTATAAGACCGGTGATGACGTACGCTAGTGTCGTCTTCGCCCACGCCCTTCCTTCATTACTTCACCCCCTTCAGGTGGTGCAAAATAAATTTCTGCGACGGGCCACGGGCGCCCCGTGGTACGTGCGCAACGTGGATCTACACCGCGACCTCAAAATACCCACTATAAGGCAATTTATGAAGCAAGCGTCTCGACGCTACTTCGCCTCAGCCGAGTCCCATTCAAATCCGCTCATAGTAAGAGCGGTCAAATACAAACCCCCATAGAGAACGTCGCTCCAAAACGTCGTCGCCCGAGGCACGCACTCTTGGACCCCGATGATCCAACTACGACGGCAAACGCGTCTCCCTCCCTACCTACCGCGGAACCCTCGACAAGAGCCCCTACAAACACACCCACACATCGCACACACCGCCTCCGCCGGCGGGGGCGAAGAACCCTCGCGACACACGGTCCGCGCGCGATCAGGTTTGCGCCCGAGCGCATAACAACCGCGTCGCAATCTCACCCACCCAGACGTACCGACCCTTCGCCGTCCCTCGACGGGGGTCGAAGTGCGGTGGCCTAAGCCGAGGCCGAGCCACTCTGGCGCCCTTAGGCGCACACACACACCGCAGTCCATAAGAAAGAGTCGACACCTCTGTCGCTCCCCTCTCGCGGGCTTGGAGTGCCATCAGCACTCGCCCCTGCATTCGCGTCCGGTGAAGCTGTAAAGGCCACACACGGCCAACAGCAAACACATTCAGGAAAAAAAAAAAAAAAAAACCAATGAATAAACGAAATCGTTTATTTATTTATTTATCTAATACACATGTCTGTGATTTTATTACGTAACTAAAACAGATCTATTAACCAGAGTTTAAAATCTGTTCTCTAATATGCTAAATTTTACGTACTTGTCCTAAATGACAATTGAGTCGTTAAGACACGATGAGTTAGTGCATTTATATAACGAAACAATCTCATCATAGATAGATAGATGGATACTCTTTATTGTTTCCTCCAAAAGATTACAATAGTAAACTTATTATAGATATAAAACAATAACAAGAAATTATTACACTGAGAAAACAATGGGCGACCTTATCGCTAAAAGCGATCTCTTCCAGGCAACCTTTGGATGGAGAGGAGTAGTTATAAACAGTTTTATTTGAAACATAGATTGTTTAAATTTGTCCTGTTAAATGTAAATATGTATCAATGACCGTAATATCTTAAATATCAGTTATTTTGCCACATTCAAGACGTCTACTTGAGATATTTGGGATAAAACTTGAAAGATTGGTTTGTACTTTATTTATATAGTTTGAATTTTAATATTATATATGAAGATTCATTAATTTTTTAGTTAATACGAACACATTACTGAATAAAAATTAATAACCATAGACTTTTAAATATATAGACATATTTGTACAGATATCATTGAATAAAACAATGTTATCCTCACGGCGTTCCTTGCACGTTAATGTTGAAAAGTTTAACGCTGAGGTAAAAACCTAACTATTCGAAAGTGACAATATTACTCGTAAATGTTTTTTTTTTTGGATTAATTTTACAATAACTCTTACAGAGTTAAGCTCAATTGTTGTACATCTTTATTTAATATAAATTATAATAACGTTTTTTTTTTTTTGTGTACAATAAAATGTAAATAATATAATAATACAATAAAAATATCTCCACCTGGCTCACGGGCTGACCGAAATGTGGGGGGTGACGTCCACCGAAATCAGTCCAATCGTTTTGTCGGTGAACGGTCTTATCCCAACTAGTCTGGAACAACATCTAAGACGGTTGAGATTCACACTCCCGAGAAAGATGCAGAAAACGGTGCTCTTAGATTCTGCCCGCATTGTACGCCGGTTTCTCTCCCTGGCTCCGGGGCCCTGAACCTGGGCCGACTGTGCTTCTGCCGGGGGTTAGTTGCCATCTTCTCACCTTAAGAGGGGAGATGTGAATTTTGTAAAAATTTTAAAAATAATAATAATGTAACTGAAAGATTTAGAATCCTCAGGTCATAAATTCTATATAACACTTTCATTTTCCTTTATTTCCTACGGCATACAAGTAAATCGTTAAAAGGTAGTTTACTTTACACCTAATTACTATTATGTATTACCGAACTTTTTGTTTTTTATTTGTGTATTTCCAAACATTGACCAATGTATGGTGGTAACTACAAAGATTTAAAATTATCAATGCACATTTGATTTCTCGTTATACTCCAGCGGTATTGTATTAAAAGACAGAAAATATAATTCCGACCCGACCGGTTGACCATACCTATAACCCTGCGTTTATATGAGAAATAGATTTCCATTAATCTGTGAGAAGTTTATGGGATTTTGTTACGCATGGTGCCTTACATGGGTAGAGATAGGGGAGAAAAGAAAACTGATTTTGGGATTTTCCTGTAACGTCAACTTCCCGCGATAAATCTGCAGTATATTATCCGAAGATATTTTGAGATTTTCACTATTAAAAAAATTCCTGTACATATTGTATTAAAAGTACAAAAAAAAAAGAAAAGAATTAATACTTATTTTAAATTTCCTCCACAATGTCGCTATATCAAGATTAAATACAGCCTGTCCGGGTACTCGAACAATTAAATGCCTAATATAAAGGCATTAAGTGATTATACTAGATCTTCTTGGGACAAATTCAACCTATTCTCTCCCCTATTGTTAAGGTTGGACTTCACTGAGGAGCTATTAAATTTTAATAAGTTTGAGAGTCTTCAATATTTATGTATTCGCTTCGTGTTTGTCCTCCACCAATATTATAATCACACTTGTGTATTTTAAAGTCGAACTAAGTAGTTTTTAGTCTATTTTATCACAAAATATATATCCTATCTCCATTTACTTTTCTTATTTTATTCTAAAGCTAAATCTAAAAGACACCACCTTTTATCTATCAAAGTTTTTTTTATATACCACTGAGGTGGCAAACAAGCATACGGCCTACCTGATGGTAAGCGGTTACCGTAGCCTATGAACGCCTGCAATACCAGAGGTATAACGCGCACGTTGCCGACCCTGAAAAACCTCTTTACCCCTCTTTTGAAGAACCCCATACTGTAGTCTTTTGGGAAAACCTCGGCAGGGAGGTTATTCCATAACCTGAGTATTCGTGGGAGAAAATATCTCAAACCGCGTTGTACGCGATCATTTAGGCTGTAGGTTGTGAGAGTGAACTCCCTGTTGATGGCG